ACAAAAATTAGGTTAAACAATATTCATCAAAAACCATGAAATAATTAATTAAAGTAAAAAAGAGAAAAAAAAAGAAAAAAGATCATGATTAAATTCTAAATGGGTGTCCATGGTAAATTTCTAATGTTGAAATATTTAATCAATTAATCAATCAAAATAAATAGTTAAATGACTAAACAAAAATGGGGAGAAATAAATCACATAGCAATTGAATTGTCTCAATTTAAAACAACTAAAATTAAATTAATTAAAATTAGTTGCAAAACAGATCATATAGTCCGATAATTAAGTTAATCAAAATTAACAAACAAAGTTAACCGATTAACACCAACTTTATTTTTAACTACTTAAGCAATTAGTGTTAAAATAATTATTTAAAAAAACTGAATATAAAAGAACTAGCCTTTTTTATACTCCATTTCGGTTCCGGTTTGTCTTGGTTCAGAATTGCTCTACGGTTTGATTATAACTCAGAATTGCTCTACGGTTTGATTTCAGTTTTGATTATAGATTCAGTTTTAACTTTAATTAGAACTACAACAGCATATCACATCAAAGAATAGAAATGGGTGAGAGGTTACCGATAAAAATGGAGGAAATGCCAAATTTTATTCTTGCTTGCAAGGCGTTTGACGAAAGTCCTTAACCAAATTTTTCTACTTGAGATGTTGAATTGTTATGAGGTGAACTTTTGGAGGTCACAGTTATTATTTGTTGTTTTGAAAATTTAAGGAGTGAGTTTTTTGTGTTCTATGTCAAAGTTAAATTCTTGGCTCAAATAAGTGATTAATTTAATAAGCTATTTTATGTTCTATATCTGAACTCTACACCAATGTAATGTCTAATTCAATGCTATGCTATACTATATTAGAAATTATGCTATGTTAATTTTTACAATTTTCTAGTTACTTGAAATTGGATTTTCAGTTTAAGGAAAAAAATGCTTATTAAATAATTTATTTCATAACAGTGGCTTAAATTAATCAACAAGAAGCATTCAACAATTTATGGCAAGGGTGTGGGAGTGAAGAGATGAAGGATTACCGATGGAGCAGAGGTTTGCCCCGGTTAGTGTTGAGAATCGGAGTGTCGAAGAGAAACCTGAAAAAACTTCAAAGGTAAGCCTTTTTTGCTATGCTTCAAATAATTCTCAAACTTAATGATTATTTTTTTATGATGAATGAATATAGAAGATGAATCTTGAATGTAGAATATTGATGAATATGATTGAATTTTGATGAACTTTGGATGATAATTATTGATGTAATGCTTGAATTGTTGAAACTTGATTGATGATTTGTTGAAATTGAATTGTGACTAAGTTCCGCCAAATTTAGAACTTCAATGTGAAGTTTTAGATGGTGATGAATATGAACTTTGGTGATGGCGAGAGAGTGAAGAAATTAGATAATTATAGGATAACTTGAGAAAAATGGTGGGAAAAAATGGTTAAAGGAGTTAATATGAGTTATGTTAGTTTGGTAGTTATGGTAGTTAAGGGTTAATTGTGTAATTGAGTGATTCTGAATGCATAGGTAGTTAGAGACAAATGGTGTTTGTTTTTTTTGCAAAAGTACCAAGTTAGGATGTAAGGCAAAAGATCATTAGTAATTATGTATGAAATTTGGATTTTTTGAATGGTTTTATCTTTGATTTTTTTTACCACTTTTCCATTGAATATTTGGTGAATTATCCAATGATTTTATGTGCTTTTGAGAAGTGATTTTGTGTTGAAAAGAAGTGCTTCTGAATGATGTAAATTAGGAATCAAATTCTGACTTTTTGAAAATGAATCAATGTTGGAAAGTGTTGAAAAAACAAATATTGAATTTTAGGAATAATGCATAATTTTTGTATAGTGCAGAATTTTTTTCATGACTTTTCCATAGCATTTTGATGATTATAATCCATGATATGAATGTCTAACTTTGTGTACCTTCTTCTTTGTAGTAAAATGGACATTGTGGTGGAAGAATGAGCTTGAGGGAACATCATGAAATGAAGAAAAAGCCATGAGAATGAAGCTTGATGGAAGATAAAATTTGTTGTAAGTTAGCAACTATATAATAATGACATAAGTAATTTTTAATGGATAATGAGGAATCTTTTGATCAAATTCTTGTACAATAGGTCTAGGAAAATTCAAGAGTCAAAATCGAGTCAATGGTCAACCGTTGATTCTTTGTTACAAAAAAGCTAGTATGGCTAACGTTACTTGTGTGACAGATTTTTTTTTTCATTTTTTACTTTTTATTTTTTTAATTTGACGTAGACATGAACTTTATATTTAAGGGGAAAATGTCTCTCCACTAAGCCACTTGTCTTTCTTATTTCATATTTGCAATAGAAAGAGGACTAAATTCAAAAATGAAATGATTTTACAGTTAGAACTTCTTCTTTCATTATAGCTTCAAACCATAATCATTTTTGTTAGTTTAATTATATAATCTGCAGCATCACTTCCATTATAGCTTCATCTTCATGTTTAATTTTGAAGTAAGACTTGAATTCTTAATTTCTCAAAGTACCAATGTGATTTTTATGTATGCAATGGTGGCGAAATTTTTATTAAACCAAATACATTCATGCATGTATATACACCTATGACAACAATATGAGAGAGATGAAATGTAAGGTCAAATTTGTTTAGAAAATTTGTAGCTGGAGCATGTCATTATCATTATCATATTTCTGTTTCATGAACATCAACAAAAACTACAAGTACATGATCTTTCTCAAAAACAAAAAAATTAATATTAATTTTTATAAGAGTTAAATAAGGGATCTCATTACCAAGTGGTAAAGGTGTGGGTTTGAATCCCACAAGTGACAGAAATATATTTTATTAAATTTGTCTTGCCATAGATGAATAAAGAATAATAGTATAAGCCACGATTTTAATATTGATTGATTGGAAGAGAATAATGTAGTATAATCGAATGTATGAAAAGAAAAAGAAGAGAAAAAGTTAAAATGGAAATATTCAGGCAAGCAAAGTCATAAAGGGAAGTGTTGAAACTCGACGCGCCGTTGATGGCTTCATCAATCCATATGAATGCCGAAACTTCTTCGCTACTTTTTTGTTTGCCAGCGATACGTTTTTATACACATGGATGCGCGTGAAAGATACCTTTTTTTAGTTACTTTCATAAATTCTAAAAGTGTAAAGTTAAATTTAATTTTTAAAAATAGGAAAACTTATAAATTTAAGTAGTAATTTGAAATTTTATAAAAAAAAATTGAGGATTAATTAAAATTTAAAAAATATGGAAAATAGTTGCAAAATTTAAAGGATAGATAATAACTAATTTAACACTAATTAAACATTCATGACGTATATAATAAGATAGGAATTTTAAATTTTTACTTTTAAAAATATTTAAATTTACCTAAATATAATACTTTATATATTCTCATTGATTTAACAATTTTTAAATGTTTTTAGAGAAACAAAATTTTTTAATTAAATATTTAATTTCTCAAAACTTATTTTTTATTATTAAAATTATCAATCCAAACACACTTCAAAACAAGAGAATTTAATGAGACGCATTAAAACACACTCAAAATTTTTAAATTCGTCCATGTATTTTTGAATTTTTTAAATTGATCCACTAATTATTTTTAAATTTGTATTTTAAATTTCAAAAATCTACCTCTTTATGTTTAAAAAAAATTATAAATTACTCCATATTTTTCTAAGACGTTGAACCACATATTGGATGATCATTTGTGGAGGTAATGAGTGGCTAGCCACCTCAGAGATAAGCCTTGGAATTCCTTTCGTTGACTAAGCGGATAAATAATTATTTTCCCGTAGGCATAATGTGAGTTTATCTTGTACAAGTTTGGGAAACGCTTCCCTTACTTTGATGACTTTTGAGAGATCATATATGACGGAGATTTCAAAGAATTTGTTGATTGGCTCTAGCCTCTCTACATTCCTTCTTGTTTAATGTATGACTTCTTGTCCCCCTCTCGTTCTTGTCGAAAGATTGTTCTTCTACCTTGTGCATCTAGGTCTACCATCCCTCTAGAGTTTTCTCCACAAATTCGGTCTTTCTTCAATAATTGTTGCTTTTTCAACATGAATAAAAAAACACGTGTGGGACGAGTCAAAATCCAATTCAAGCACCATGGCCGAATTTTCAAAGATGAAATAATAAACATGACATCACCTAATCATCGGGAATCTCATTGTGATGATTTTTCTTTCATCTTCATCCCCAAATATCATTAGTAGTTTTACGTACCCTAGACTTTTGTATCCGTGCCATCGAAACCTTGGAGGTTTCCTCCGCAACATGTTTGCACTATTAATTTCAAACCCACATTTTTGCATACATTATATCGCATGAGCTCCCTTGATCCATAATACGCGTTGAAACTCCTATATGTAGTCTGTCATCGTCGCTCTCATCAAAATAGACATGTGGCAATTTGGTATGTCGCTACCTAACTTGTCATCATAGAATGATGAGATAGTCTCTCCTCCACCGGTTAGAAGATATCACTTGGATGTAGGTGAGTTCATAATTATCATAAATACAAACTAAAATATATTAAATTAAAAATTAAACAATTATTATTAAATATGAATACAATTGAAACAAAATAATTAATAATACATACAAAATTTTAAAAAAAAAAGTAGTTTATTTTAAAACAATTTCTTTTACAATTATGTCACCTCAGTGTGGAACAAGGAAAGAGGCTAGTACTTGTTAACCTCAATTTCTTTTCAATGATTAATGTGTAATGACGAAAAAAATGCACTTGTGGGTAAGAGTGTTTAATGATGGCTAGAAAACGCCAAAATGGTTTTGCTTTGCTTTCGCTTTCGCTTTTGCCATAATTGACTTGTGTTTCGCACTTTTGACAAACGCAAAATCAACACGGCAACCTTAAACATAAATACCAGTCAACTTGAAACAACAAACCACACTCATGCTTGTTTCCTATGTTCCATTATTCTTCATCCAACATTGGTTAACATTAACATGGGTGTCTGTTTCGCATCACTCTCACGCGTACCACCACCCTCATCCCTCAACAGCCTTCACACTTCAGGGAGTAACGAGAGTACTAACAAAGATTCATCATTGTGTCGGGAAGTGTCAAACTTGAAGGTATTTAGCTATGGAGATTTGAAAATTGCAACAAAGAGTTTCAAGTCAGATGCTTTGCTTGGAGAAGGTGGTTTTGGTAAAGTGTATAAAGGTTGGTTAAATGCTGAAACACTCGCTCCTGCTAAAGCTGGTTCAGGAATGATGGTGGCTATCAAGCAAATGAAACCTGATAGTTTGCAAGGTGTTCAAGAATGGCAGGTAGTTTCATTTTCATTTCTTTGAGGATACTTTGCTCTATTCAGGTATATGACTTTATTGCTTCTGGTGTTTTTTTACATGAAAATGCAGTCAGAAATCAACTTTTTAGGAAGTATTTCTCATCCCAACTTGGTCAAGCTACTTGGTTATTGTAGGGAGAATGATGAACTTCTCTTGGTGTATGAGTTTATGCCAAGGGGAAGCTTGGAGAGCCATCTATTTAGAAGTATGAACTTTGACACAGTTAATGTTAATAATAAGGATAAAATTCTTGTATATGGATCTGATTTCAAACTCAATTTGGTTTTTGGTTTTTGATTTTCGTTAGGAAATACCAACGGAGAGCCACTTTCTTGGAAAACTCGACTCGAAATAGCTACTGATGCAGCTAGAGGGCTGGCTTTCTTGCATTCTTCAGAAAAGCAAGTCATATATAGAGATTTCAAGGCTTCTAATATACTTCTTGATGGGGTATGTTACTTTTGGCTAGTTTCTCTCTTTTATGTTGGTCTTATGATCTTGTATATATTCCACTGCCTTTGCATATTGATAATCAATAATTTGTGTTCTACAGAATTACAATGCAAAGATTTCAGATTTTGGATTGGCTAAATTTGGTCCATCAGGGGGAGATTCACATGTGACTACTAGGATCATGGGCACATTTGGTTACGTGGCTCCAGAATACATTGCGTCGGGTGATTATAACTATATCTATATTTATATCTATACACATTAAATGTGGATGATTTGTGAAAATATCTAATATGAATTGTGTGATGTTATTGAACAGGTCATTTGTATGTGAAGAGTGATGTTTATGGATTTGGTGTAGTGCTACTTGAAATGTTGACAGGTTTGCAAGTACTTGATACAGAAAGGCCTCCAGGGAAACAAAATCTGGTTGAATGGATTAAGCCTTCTCTCTCAGATGAAAGAAAGTTGAAAAGTACCATAATGGATTGTAGGTTAGAGGGCCAATATTCACCAAAGGCAGCATTAGAAACAGCTAAGCTTATTCTTAAATGTCTTGAATCTGACCCTAAGAAACGTCCTTCTATGAATGATGTTTTGCAGAAATTGGAAAGTATAAAAGTTATAAAGGATGGAAGGAAGATATCCAAGAATCATTGCACTAAATCTGCAGCTAATAGCTATGTACAGTTTAGAAAAGATAATTTGTCCATTTAAAGATCGATGGTGAATATTTGATTAAGTGAATAGGTGTTTATGAGTCACTTTGTAAGCATTTATAAATTTTTTTGGGTTAAATATACAAACTCCCTTGTAATATTAACGAATTTTGTTTTTAATCCATGTAAAAAATTTGTTTTTAATCCTCCCCTTATCTTATTTAGATTTCGTCAATAATCCCCTCAAATGGCACATGTCCTCACAAATTCTCCATAGTTTTCCAGCGTGACTTGTGTTTTTAATTTTTTTCACTCTGGCTAACATTTTGTAGTGACAGCATGTCATAAATCCATCTTCTTGTTCTGTGATTTTAGGGTTTGTTTCCCCTTTCTCTCTTCATCAGACCAATGAAAATTTTTCAGGTTTCTTCATCTCTTCCGCCTGCTGCTAGTGTTCATTGTTTCAATCATGGGTGGAAGCACAGCATCATCCGTCGGTAACTCTTTTGGACGGCGCTTGCCAACAGGTAGTTGTAACGAAGCAATGAAGATGTGGGTATCAAACACCATTGATAACTCAAATTGAAAATTCTAGAAATGTAGAAATTCATTGGTAAGTGTCTTTTCATGTTTTTAATCGTATTTTTATTTTCAGTAACTCTTATATGTGTGTGTGTGTGTGTGTGTGTGAGTGTATGTGTGTGTGTGTGTGTTAATCATATTTGCAGAATGGATGTGGATTGTTCATGTGGGACGATGATGTATGTGAGGTTCAAAGAAATGAAATGATTCCCTCAAGATGCTGTAAATATGAAATGACAATGGTCTATTTGAAGGAAATTGCGAAAGACATTGTTAAGGAGATTGAATTTGAAGTTTTCAAGAATTGGAGTGTAGAAGACATTTCAAAGAACATTGAAAAATTGAAGAAAAAATTTGTAATGGAGAAGAAAATAATCTATTGGTTGATGCTTACACTTGCTTTGTCATGGATGTTATTTTCAGTAGTATTTAAGTTAATGTAATGGAAAAGTTTATAAGTTTGAATCAATATGTTGTTATGATTTCAATAGTGTTTAAGTTAATGTAATGGAAGATTATTATAACATTTGATGTATCATCGTTTTGTATTAATGGAAAGGTTTCTAAGTTTCAATCAAAATATTGTTGTTGCAGTGCTATACACATGTTCTTTAAATATGAGGTTACATTATGTTGGACTGATACGAAATGTTGCATCATTCATTGACAAGAAAGCATAAAATGAAACATGAAAGCATAGTTAACAAAATGAAACATCATTCATTCATTAACAAAAAGCACATTTAATGCATAGGTCTGATACATCAATACAAACACAAATTAAACGTAGCTTTGAGACAAGCACAAATGATAGCATAACTTTGAAACAAACACTATATAAAACATTAAGCACATATAGTGCATAGGTCTGTTACAAGCATTACTAGCACAAAAATAAAACATAATTCAATAACAACTACTTAATCTATTATTTCTTCTTCTTCCAAGACTTCAAAGACCTAGTTGAAACTCTAAGCTTAGAATCTTGTGCACTTGATCTTTCTTCAGGTTCTGTTAATGTAATCGGTTGGTCACTAGATGATCCTTGGCCTATAATTATCTTTTTAAACCAACTCAACTTTACTCTTTCCCTCTTCCTTCTTCTAATGACTGGTTTTTTTCTTTTATTTTTTTTTTGTGACTGACTTATGTCTACAACACAAGATCCAGATTGACTTTGCACAGTTGGGATAGCTGTTGGTACTTGTGACGGATGCATAGTAGGCATAACAGCTAGCACTTGAGTCTGCATAGTTGAATTATTTTCAGGTGGCATAGTAGTGGCCTCTACATCAGTTGGCATAACAGTGGCCTCTACATCAGTTGTCTTTTTCTCAATGGTCTCTATATCAGTTGGCTTTTACTCAATTTTAGGTTTTCTTTACACAGTCAACATACAAACACATGTTCACACATTTAGCCAAAAACAAAATTCCAACAAATTCACATAAGATGCATATCAATAAATAAACACATATTATCTTTCTTTTTAGTGCATTAGGGTCCTGTGTCAAGCTCTTACATGTCAATGCATTGTAGCCAAACTTATCACATTTGGTGCACTTATAGATCACCCCAGGTCTTCTTTTTCTTGCACCTTCCTCACCACACAATCGTATCCTAACCTTCTTTGGTCTACCAGATTCATTTTTATATATTGGGGGTTGTAACTCATCCACTTGGACATCTGGCCACATATCCTGCCCATTGATAGGACTCACAGAATAACCATAACAAAATGCATACTTTTCTCTTGTATAACATTCATCAACAAAATCATCAGGTATTTGTTTCCTATAGCTTAAAGTAGCTACAACATGCCTACAAGGAATTCATACCAATTCCCAAAATTTACAACTACATGACCTTTTTGTTATGTCAACAATAAACTCTTGTGTGTTGAAACTATGTGTAACCTGGAATTGCTCAACCATGGACAAACTGCATACTTTTCTCTTGTATAACACTCATCAACAAAATGATTCAAGTATTTGTTTCCTATAGCTTAAAGCAGCTACAACATGCTTACAAGTAATTCCTACCAATTCTCAAAAGTTACAACTACATGACCTTTTTGCTATGACAATAATAAACTCTTGCGTGTTGAAATTATGTGTAACCTGGAATTGTTCAACCATGGACCAAGTTGGTAGCCAACCACCTCATCTTATACCCCTTCCATATCATTCAACCCATTAACACACTTAGGTCCCCTTCAAGTTCTTTGTTTTCAACATCATGTTCCATAAAGATATCTCCATCAGTAACCACTGCACAACAATATGAGGCAAAATCGTATGCATCATCATCTTTTCTTATCTGAATAAAACCCTCATCAATTTCAAATTTTTTTGTCCATAACCTATAAGTTCCTTCCTTATACCCCCACATATTCACCTACTTGTCAACACTCTCCATTGTCCAGTTCGCAATGTGTAACCCAGACACATTCGAATCAACCCCCTCTATAAATGATCTCGTTTTGGTTTGATAATAATTACATTCACCAATCACACTAACCTTAATATAAACTCATTACTCACCATCAAAATTCTTCTCTAAAGAATAATGACTTGGTATAAAGTTGAAATATTGTCTTCTCTGTAATTATAAACTCATGTGGGCTTATTAAAAATATTGTCTTCGAAGTAAAAGTTGAAATATCTTCTATTAGGAACTAACTTCCTTATTTAAAAATATTGTCTACATGTGAGACACATTAATAATATTTATTTCAAAAATATATATATTAATTCAACAATTGGATTGATTAAAGATAGTTAAAATCTTTTTCCCAATTGGGCGGAAGCATGCATGCAAGTCATGAAGGAAGTGTTGAAAAATGAGTCAATCCATATGAATGCCGAAACTTCTTCGCTATTTTCGTTGCGACAAGAAACTGTATACACGGGGATGCATAAATGCTACTTGTTTTGTTTTTTCTTCTAAAAAGTAAATTTTAGTTCTAACTGTTCAAAAGCTAAAAAAGAAAAAAAAAACTTGTACTTTTATGTAGTATCATCCTATTTTAAGAGTTAAGAAACATTTCTATTTTTTTCCGATACAAGTTCCTTCTATCACATTCGAATAATGTTGAACATATAACTTACACTTTGAACTTTGATTTACGGTATGGTAGAGACACCTATATCTAGAAACAACCACATTGATGCTATTGTGCTTTTAATACTAGAGATTTTTCCTGGTCTACCCATTGCTGAAATTTATATAGTATAATACTTTTAGTTTGAAAAAGAAAAATTCAACGTATCCTTGTTTTAATACATGCCCGTTTCACTGGAATTATAGATAGGTGAACGCGTGACGTGTATGAAGGTGTTCGTTCATTCGGTTGATAAACTTCTGAACTTTTTATTTTGTTTTTTGTTTTTTAATTGTTTAATTAATTATAATAATAATTTTATTAGTAAATATATATTTTATGAATTAAATAATATTTTAAAATATATTTTTCTTTTTGATAATTTTTTTAAAATATTGATACTCGCTCAATGAGTTGCCGAGTGTTTAGAGATTCTCGGCCAATGAATGACCGAGTTCAAACATTATATTTTTTATAAATAGATTGATGCGCATCAACACAAATCATTCGAGTTAGGTATTTGCATTTTCAAAAATGTTTGTTTAAGCTCTTGTGTTCTATGAGCAAGAAAAAAACCTAGTGTTTACCTAGATCTGCAGTGGAATTTCAGAATCGTGGTTGCAGCAATTAACACGGGCTTTCGACAGTTGGGTGATCGTCGCATGAAGGCGAGAAAAATGGAGTATCGTTGTCCGTACATAACGCTGACTGATGCAAGCCTGGAGGGTACGTACATGTATTACTTGAATCGTATAGAAAATGATGAAGATGTCCAATGTATGTTTTCAGCACATAGTGGCGAAGTTAATAGAGGAGTCGAAGATCCACTTGTGTTGGTTGTTGTTGTTGATTAACTTGTATGTTAGCTTCTTGAGTTTTAATTTTATTTAGTAAACATAAATTATGGCATGATGATGCTTGACCATTCATTGGACGAGCAGTGAAATGTTTAATTATTTTTCTATTTTTTAGAAATAGTTTTGTGTGTAACCTCGGAATCTCAGATCTACTACACAGATTCTTCATTTTTAGTCTGAAATATGGATTTGACCATGGAGTATTTTACCAATCCAAACACCCCTTACCAAAAGAGATGCTCTGCTAGTTTTTTCACCAATAAAACCCCCGTTGAAGATCTGACTATGGAGCACAGTCACGTTCGAGCATTTTCAAAGAAGTCTGATGAGGTGGTTAGAATGTAAAATAGCTGAAGGTGAAAATATTAGAAGAATTGAAAGGCTTGTTAAAGAGAGAGATACATGGTCTAGAAAGTTGTAAAAAACGATTATGATTGTGTCATGATGATGTATGGATAAACTGATATTAAGTTGATGGGTGTAATCTCTTAGTATTGCTGATTTATTGAATCATTTAAATGTTCATTGTCTTGTTGTTGTATGAGCATAGTCTTTGTTTCGTAGTTGTTAGTAAAAGTTGTCTTGAATTATAAATTAATGTTGGATCACAGAGAAATCAAGTGCAAGCTAAAAACTTTATTAACTGATTAACTTGAAAAACAAATAAAATTATCTAGACGGTCGGGTTTGAACAACAAATCTCTTCCCCGCGAAGGTGTCTAAGGGAACACCACACAATGACGATTAAAAAAGCCCAAAAAATTCATTGGCGAGAATTAAACAAAGAGGATGTGAAAGAATGGAAACATAGAAGATATTTGATTTTGCAGGGGGCACAATGGTTGGTGAACGCAAGTCAAACCAAGAGTACTTAAATTGGTTTCGTGCAATTCCATACGTGTATATTGCTCCAGACCAATTTTTGATCGACCCTCGTGTATAAGGTTCGTCTTCAACACAACCAACTGTCGCACCAATGCATCAGAATATGCCACTAATGTACACATCTCAATTTGGGGGACACGCATCTTCATCCGCTCAACATACATATCATGGCACACGGACCACCGAACAACACATATTCTATGCAACCTCATCCCAACATCAAACTCCATACACTCCACTACTTCAACAAAACTAACACCACAACTACAACCAACAATATCAACACCAATCCACCCTTCGACCACCCTTACAGTTCACTCCAGTTCATCCGTCAAACTTTGGTCAATCAAACCCGCAATCCCAACATCAAATCTTCAAAACTTCATTCTCTCAACCCACCTCCAGCTTCACGCCTGATGATGTCTAATATCCAACCCTCCAACAAATCCAACCCGAAACCTACACCCAACCACCACAACCATCGCATTCATTCCAACATTTTTTGTTGACGGAGGATTAACTGATGCAAATGTCAGATTTTAACATTGATGACCTTTTTGCGGAGCAACCTACGACACAAGCGGACCCCCTTTCAAGGCAGGTGGCCCCCCTACAACACATCACGATCAAAATATGTCTTCTGATTTATCTTCATCACCTACAAGAAATGCAAATGAACTTTTGAGCAGAAAATATCGACAAAAAAAGGGTATTAGGTGTGAAACTGGCGGCCATTTTTTATGAAATATATTTTATTTGTCAATAATCAATACAAAAATATTTATTGCATTTAATTTTGTTTGAATAAATTTTATTTTTTTTCATATATTTTATTATTACATTTAATTTTAATATTGAATAAAAAATTATTTTTAATTAATATATAATTATTAAATTAATATAATATATTTTTAATAATCAAAATTATTAAATAAAAACCTAAAAAACAAAAAAAATATTAAAATACTAAAGTGCTCGTCAATTGAATGGACGATGCACGCTTTCCATCTCAATGAACGAGGACGTACTAAACTTAGGGTATGTTTTAAAAAAAAATTCAAACTAAAATGTTATAGATATAAATTTCAGCAACAGTAAAAATCTCTTGAATACTACGAATATAATTTTATTTTATTTTAAAGGACTTATTTATAAAACTTCAAATATATCAAGCAGCTATAGAATAATTATATTTTTATAAAGTTAAAAAACACGTGTGGGCGACAAGAGTGTGTTTTGCGCTTTGACTAGCGAAACCAACACGGCAACCTTAAACATAAATACCAGTCAACTTGAAACAACAAACGACACTCACACTATTTTCCCACGTTTCATTGTTCTTCATTTGTTAACATTAGCATGGGTGTCTGTTTCGCATCCCTCAACAGCCTTCACACTTCAGGGAGTAATGAGAGTACTAACAAAGATTCATCATCATCGTCATCATGTAATAAGAGTAAAGTTTGGGAGATGCCAAGTAGTGAAAGTGGAAAGCTTCTAGAAATATCAAACTTGAAGGTATTTAGTTATGGAGATTTGAAAATTGCAACAAAGAGTTTCAAATCAGATGCTTTGCTTGGGGAAGGTGGTTTTGGTAAAGTGTATAAAGGTTGGTTAAATGCTGAAACACTTGCTCCTGCTAAAGCTGGTTCTGGAATGATGGTGGCTATCAAGAAATTGAAACCTGATAGTTTGCAAGGTGTTCAAGAATGGCAGGTAATTTCATTTTCATTTCAATTCATTGACGAATCTTTGCTCTATTCAGCTACCTGATTCTATAATTTCTTCTTTTTTTCTTTATATATGACAATGCAGACAGAAATCAACTTTTTAGGAAGACTTTCTCATCCCAACTTGGTTAAGCTACTTGGTTATTGTAGGGACGATGATGAATTTCTTCTTGTGTATGAGTTCATGCCAAGGGGGAGCTTGGAGAACCATCTATTTAGAAGTATGAACTTTGCGACACATTAATGTTAATAAGCAAAATAAGTTACTGGTTATGTATTTGAGTTTAAACTCAATTTTGTTTTGTTTTTTGGTTAGGAAATACTAGAGAGCCAATTTCTTGGAAAACCCGTCTCAGAATAGCTATTGACGCAGCTAGAGGTTTGGCTTTCTTGCATTCTTCAGAAAAACAAGTCATATACAGAGATTTTAAGGCTTCTAATATACTTCTTGATGGGGTCAGTTTTTTTTTTTGGCTAGTTTATCTCTTTTATGTTGGTCTTATGATCTTGTTTATATTTCACTGCCTTTGTATATTGATAATCAATCATTTGTGTTCTACAGAATTACAATGCAAAGATTTCAGATTTTGGATTGGCTAAATTTGGTCCATCAGGGGGAGATTCACATGTGACTACTAGGATTATGGGCACACATGGTTATGCTGCCCCGGAATACATTGCAACGGGTGACTATATCTATATCTACATTTAAATTTTTACCCATTTAAATTGAACATGGAAAATATCTAATATGAATTGTGTGATGTTATTAAACAGGTCATTTGTACGTGAAGAGTGATGTTTATGGATTTGGTGTAGTGCTACTTGAAATGTTGACAGGATTGCAAGCACATGATTCAAAAAGGCCTTCGGAGCAGCAGAACCTGGTTGAATGGATTAAGCCTTCTCTCTCGGATAAAAAAAAGTTGATAAGTACTGTAATTGATTGTAGGCTAGAGGGACAATATTCATCAAAGGCAGCGTTAGAAACAGCTAAGATTATTCTTAAATGCCTTGAATCTGACCCTAGAAAACGTCCTTCAATGAATGATGTTTTGGAGACATTGGAAGGCATAAAAGCTATTAAGGATAGAAGGAAGATATCTAAACATCGCTGCACTAAGTCTGCGGCTAATTAGCTATGATTAATTTACAAAAGCAATTGAGGGTGAACGTTTTAGTTTGTTAGTTGGAGGAGAAATTCTTTTATTTTTCTTCGTTGTTTGAGTTAGTCCCAACTTTTTAAAGTGGGAATGTGTTTTCTGTTTTAAGTAATGTTAACTACTTTGTCTAAACAAATGGCTACTTTATGAAAAACCGATGTATTTTCTTGAGGACATTCTTCCAATCGTTCACTTTTGGTTTCAGATTTCGACCGTTCTTTTTCTCTCCTTCATTTTTCAGGCATTTGCCTGATATCACAATCTTTTCTCGCTTGTTTGTGTCTTGTTAAGATGCATGGATGGGTATGAATATTGTTGTTTCACATGGAACCCATAAACATATGTTCGCTTTCTGTCCTAGTTATGACCTCAAAATTCATCTACAAGTATTGAATGGTGAAAGTGGGTACTGAAAAAATTACCATGAAAGCATAGCAAGTTTTAGAATCATGCTGACTAGTTATAGCCATGGATTCACTTTTGTTATATACCTTAAAGAAATTCTAAACAAAAAATCATGGAAGAACCCAAGTTCTTAACATTCCAATAATATATTTGTAAGATCCCTGCATTTTCTTCTGTTTATCTAACTATCCATCATTCATCTTTAATCAATCCAAACAAGGAAAACCATGGTAACACTTAGCAGTCGGATCCCTACCCAGGAAGTATGCAACTACAGACAAGATTTTATCAATCTCCCTCCCTCCTATCCATTTAGATAAATTATTTAAAACTAAATTTTAAAAAGGAGCAATGTAGAATGTCAAAAAAATCCACTGCCAACATTGACTAAGGCAAATATTATGTAGTAACCTTGACTTGTAAAATAAATATGTAAAATTATTGCATGGTATGGATTTGCTTATAAGCATACAATATAATGAGAGGAACCTTAAAATGTTTCCATCTTAAACAGAGTACAGATAAAAAAAATCAAATATACATGGAGGGGGGAAACATCAATCAAGCATCAATCACTTGAGTAGGATGTCATTGGACTATGACATAAATAGTTTATGGAAGATACAATGACTGCAAAATAGTAATAAATAACAAAAATATGATAAGCAGCAAAAGAGGGGCTTAAAGATTGAATTCGTTAAGTGATTTAAATGTAGAACTAAATCCCCTGATGGTGACTCCTATTGCAGAAGCTGAATACTTCACAAAATTCTAACTCCCCAATTTGATTTGTGTAGAAGTTAACGTTGGGGATTGTTTAGGCGGGGTCTGTTGCAGAAAACCCGTCCGTTGGCCCTCACAAAAGCTGCTAAACCGACACTAATGCCAGCCCACATTAGCGAAAAGAAGAAGTGCCTAAAATCATAACGAACTGCAGCAACAATAAACAAAATAACAATTTTCAGGCCATATATTTCACATATGTAATGGACAGTTCATTAACTTATCAATTGTACAGTTATTGTTCTAACCTTAGGCTAGCAAAGTTTACAGAATTATCCAGTTCACTCATATACAATATTTTTTACTGTGAGCTTAAGTGCTTGCAAAGAGTAAGCGCAGAAAATCTCGCAAACTTTTACATCACACACACTTGCTTTAAAAACTTAAATATCTGGAAACCTTGGGCATGTTGGCAGCAGTAGGCTACAAGATATCCGACCACTTTAAACCACTTCTGAATAAGTCAGCTGGTAATTAAAACAGGGCAACGGGAGTGAAGGAGGGCTTTCCATTCTCGCAAAACTAACTAAACAAGACTAAATTAATTATCATATTTTAGGTGTCTTGTGTACCTCAGTTCTCAGCACTTATCGAGTGGTTGCCTCTAATATACATCTCTCCTCTCCCCCTTATTCTCTATCCCTCTTATGATCTATTTGGTTTGAAAAAACTTTCTGTTTTAATAACGATTTTTTTTTGCAGTTTGCTTTTTTATTTCATAAGTATGGATGGGAATCGGTGAAAGCAATTTGTTTTCACTGCTTGTAAAAACAAGAAATATAATCAGAGAACAATTTCTCATATGCCATAAACTTCCCTGGTTCACCCAGTCCCCCATATTCTTCATTTCCCCGGAATATCCTCTCCCACTACTCTATTGTCTCAGTCTAATGTTATTGCCTGAACTGATTCTTAAAAGGTCGGACTGGATTTGAAATCATACGCTTTTGAAGTAGTATAGGTTGGTTCCTTTTATTTTATTTATTGAACCAACACCAAGAGACACAGATTAATTCTTAGTTTAAGCCTTAACTAAATAAAGTAAACTCACCTTGTCTCAATGACATGGTTGCAAAAAGAAATCCAGTTAAAACCAGAGCGAAAGCCAGAGGAAACGACTGCAAACAAAAACAATAATATAAATATTTATTTCCATTAAATGCATATGACCTTGAAGCATTCTAATGATGAACTGCATGTCAACAAAATGCAGAATGCAAAATAAAAATCATATTAGGTCTTCAAACAAAAGGGAATGCTGCAATGCATTATCCAGCATTATAGTGACTTCAATATTTCCCTGACTACTGAATAATCTAGTTGCTCCTTTAAATATTAAAGGCAGTTTTTATTTCTTATTTAATAAAGCATAAACCACTCAGCTTCATGTGGTAATTCATCTTTGTGGATCATTGCATTCCATCACTTTTCGGTAGGGTTAGGACCAACTTTCCGTAAACCTTGACACGAAAAATATAGGCAGTGTCCCCGAAAACAGACTTCAATTCATTCATTTTGTATGCATGTATGCAACTATGAATTTAGTCACAGTCATATAATTTAAAATGTGTTCATCAATTGTGAGCTTCCTAAGAACTGATCTTAAACACAAAAGCATTGCCACAAACATCAACAAAAAATATTGTACTCACAGCTATAGCTTCAATTCCTCCTTTCTGAGAAGAAGCAGCTGTATCTCGGCCAACAGATACTATATAATGTCCTTGCAGGAGATCAATTGCATCCTTCACACAATAAATGAAAAATATGAACAACACAGATCAATTACATATAAACTAATAAATTTTTTAAATTAACAAATTTATAAAAGGTAATGGATCCAGAGAAGCTCAAAAGTAATTTAACTCGAGATCTATTCAGAAATGGTATCTTAAGAAAAAATAGTAACCAGAATTAAAATATGTACATTAAAATTCAGCATCTTCTACAGCATAATTACTATGGAAGGCAGCACAGACTAAAACTTTGAATTGGGATGCAAAAGGGAGAGGTTAAATATACATGGGACAAAACCTAGATGATGATAATTATTCGAATTAGAGTTTGGTCTAATTCTTCCCTATAAAACCAGTTGGTAACGTAACGAGCATCACTCAATATAAACTATTTTCAAGCTCTATCTATAACTAATGTGGGACTTGGGATCTTCCCAATACACCCCACTCCCGTTGGGCTTGATGCGTGGATATGAGCGGGGGACGGCTTACGGTCCAATTGATAGGCTCTGGTGCCATCTTAGAATTGTGGTTGGGCCTAACTAAACCTTACAAAACCGGCGTGGTGGGCCCATAACCCACAGGTCCCTAGACCAGAACCAGAATTTGATACCATATTAAATGTGCTTGGGTCTCATTTCCAAAAGGTAGTTCAAAGGGTGAGGTTGCACCCTCACACATCTATACATTCAACAACCCGAAAACCTAAGCATTGTGAGACTCCAAACAAACTCCACAACTTAAATACAACTTCAACACCCACCCTCACGCCTAGCGTGGGCCTAGGTCCAATTACCACATTGCAGTCCTTAATCAGACTCTAATACCATGTTGAACTTGTGATGTGTAAAACATGAGAAAAATATTATTGATAATAACTATTGCCCTGAAACAAAAGACTCCATAGAGATACATGACTCAATTATGTTGATAATAACTAGTATGATCAATGTAGAACTTCAGATCTTCCCAATAATAATAAGTTGAGTTATGACCAACTAATAGACTCCTAAGGAACTCTAGATTATAACTAGAGTACCCCCATATGTTATGTTAAATAAGTTATACAAACCTGCTTTGTTCCATCACAAAAGTTATTCAAATAATATCTTTGGAGAGCATTCCAACAATCATTTACTATCCCTTGAACAGTGCGATGCCCAAACCTGAATCCCACCAAAATAAATTAATTAGGGTAGTCACGAAGGTCAAATTTCAAATCATATCATTCATAATAGCAACACATTTAAAATTCTAGACACGATGTCGTATCAAATTGTCACACGGAATTTATTCAACCTTAACATATAAAAGAATTGCACATTATAAAGTTTTTCCTTATTGCCAGGTTTTGTCGTTTTAATTGAATATAATAGTTAAAGTTTAAAGGAAGTACACGGACAGTGTGAAACAATATTACATATACAAACGATCAAAATCCTTATATTTGCTGTCATATTAGTATTAAAAAAAAACTTGATTTGGTGGGATACACGTCCCTCATTGGTTGACATGTGCACAGTCCAGCTTCTCATAGTTAACGCAATTAAAGCATGCAATAGAGAAAAGCAGCGGACTAAAATGGAAAAATTTTACAAAAAATCCATAATTCCCATATTGCAAAACATATACAATCAAAGTCAGCATATGATACAAGAGATGCAAAGACATATTAAAATTATTCCATGCTAATGTAAATTCAACATAGAAAAACCTTTATGGACCCATACATTAACAATCTTCTTAATATGTACGGAATGTAAAAAAAAAAAAAAAAAATTGTAAAGACTATCGGAAAAATACCTGACAAAGTCTCCTTTCAGAGCAGGAGTTCCTGAATATTGGATACTTACATCATCCCCATGATTAGCCCACACTGATCAGAGTCAGTCACAAATTGAATCAAAGATTTCAAAAGCGGCAAAAACAGTGAAAAGTTGAAAACTACTACATAATACAACACATAATCTGAAAAGTAATAATACACTTACAGATCTTAAACCTTTCATCAAGATTTGGATGTGAACTAATGGTTTCTTCAGCCCCAAAGACTCCAAGCCTTCTAAGCTGGTATTCTAACATATTTCGGCCTATCATGCTCTACACATATACTTTCATCAGTAAGCTGGAAAATAAATTATGCCATAAACAAATAGTGGGAGTGAATCTTAGAAGGGACGGAGGATGGCCATGACCACCCCAAAAAAATCCTTTCTGATAGGGTGTGTGTGTGGGAATCTATGTGGCTTTTTTTCTCTTTCCAACACAATAACCCATAACAGATAAGAACCAAAGAATGAAGTGTTTCATATAAAGGGACATAAATTTTTCCATTAATTCTAGAAGGCACCAAACACTTTCTGTAATAGAAACCAACCAACCTGAGTTACATTTGTTCGGTCGAGACAATCAATACAGTTGGTCCTAACAACTCCAAGTTGCTCCTTCATTTTCTCTCCCTTTTCGTTCAACAAAAGATATCTACACTTGCAGAAGCGAATAGCAACTCAGGTCATATATATTTATCTCTTTAAAGAAGAACTTCAGTAAGATTTGAGTACAAAACCTTATTATCAAACAGGATAATAAGGTGAATGTTTTTCCAGTAAAAATCTTATACTGTTGGACATCGCATAACATCATGCTGGAAAATTGTTCAGGATACTATAGCAGATAGGTCCAAATAAAGCAACATAAACAAACATCATGTTAATATGATTTATTAGAACTGGTTAGCATATCAGTAGTTCATAAATAGCTCCCTGCTTCGATCACCAATCAATATCAATAAGAATCAAATTATTAATCAATTCTCAAAAAAGTAGGTATCAAATAGCTTAACCGATAAAAAATTCCATACCCGTTTCTCTCAAGAAAATCTGATATTTGATCATAAAGCAATGATAGACGTTCAAAATGAACGTGTCCACAGACATGATGGAAATCAAAGTGAACATATCTACATAGAATAATTAAAAACACATGAGTAAACCCCCAAAATAACTGAAGAGTCTATGCATATCAATCTAATCAATCTAAAAGTTAATTGAAAGAGACATCTACCTTACATCATCACTAGCCACATGCTGCATTGTACTGCCAAATTTTTCACATAGCCGCCCTTCTCCGCCATGCTGATACATAACAATTCCATGCACATTTTAGGTTGCATGCATTCTTAACAGTTGTCTATGAAATTTACAATGCAATTACACAGACTAGTATCATTTGGCAAAATTGTTAACCAATATACGAGCATTCTCAGCTTGTTACACAATGAAAGCATATTCACCTTGTTAACAAGATCAACAGCCAACACAGCTCCATATTTTTTTCTTAAATCTAATATATGCCTCTCGAGGACTCGTGGCTGCATCTCAAGTAATGAAATGGAAGTGAAATACATATAAAACATGTAAAAACCACAGAATTACAACAATAAGCAAACACTTACAGCATCCTCGAGTTTCAATAGTTCGAACTTCGGTTTATATGTTAAGTCAACAATTTGCTGCCAGAGCAGAGGAATCGAACCACGAACCTGCAAAAGTTTAACCATGATGACTCCTAAGTGATATGAAATGAAATAAAACACAGTTAACATTCTTCCCGAAAAAACAGAATTTGAGCCATAGCCCCTCTTGTTTGGTTTTATTTTTGAACCCATATAAATTATAATAGCAAGAATTGGTTTTATTTTTGAACCCATATAAATTATAATAGCAAGAGTAGCCCATTTTCACTATGCGAAAAAACCTGAAAATTCAAGTTTTCATTCAACTATCACTAGTAGTATTGCTACATAAGTTTCCAGCTCAGATTCTCAAATAAAGATGTCCTAAATCCCAATAGGTACAAATATTATCAGAAGGTCTATATTTCAAAGTTAAAAAGAATTAAAAAATAAAAAATAAAAAATAAAAAATGAGAAAAAAAACCCAAAATATTTGGAAGGTAATGCTATTTTTGTATTAACCTTAAAGCTACCAACACTGCATGTCAGAATACTTTGGCCTAGAAGTTTAAGAGTAACCTTTTCAGTTCAACATCAACCCATCTTGAAACTGGCAAATCATATTTACAATTAAAAAAAAAAAGCAACACATGATTGAAAAATTAGAATGAACAAAATATGGTGTTTTGTGGAAAAATATAGATTTTTACGAATTGCAAAAGATTTAGTGAGGAATTCAGTTTTGGTATACATTTGACAGTTAATGATGCCAGTATTATGTCAAAATCTAGCAGGGAATAACAGGCATATTAGGTAGAATTTGTGTCAAAGCAAACATGGAATAGCAGATAAAAGAGATGGGATAGTTTTCAGGAAGTTATATAGTAAGTCACACATAAGAGATCTAGAGAAGGTAGAATCAAAACAATTATTCCCCATTGAAAACTCATGTGACAGAAAAACTAAGTTGAAAAGAAATACCAACTGCTTTTTGTATTATATGGAAAGCTGCCCCGCATTATTAAACATGAACTTTATTTCTGGATAGTTTGTTAATAGTAAGATGAAATGAAAATGGTAGCTAATTTTCACATTACTTCCATACCTAAATACAATACACAATTGAAAGGTTACTGAAGCATCATTTGCAAAAAAAATTAACGCCATTAATTGGACGGTCAAAAATACCAAATGCAAATTCGGAAAGACAACTAAGAATTTTTAAAATATATATTGGACATAAAAAAACTGAAATCATTTTTCCATCTTCCTAGAAAAATAATTAAGTTAGATATCAATTGTTCATTAATTATGTAGTTGCTTATATGTGTCCTAGATAGTTTCCATCTTATTTCAAAATAATGACAACTCTTTAGGATGATTAGGACCACTTCTTTGAATTAATTCGATAGAACATTCATATCTTGCATGGCTAGCCCATCCTTTTATTTCAATTCTTATATTAAAAGATTTGTGGTTGTAGAAAGTAATACCTGAACAAAAGAAGCAGTATACCCATTGAACTGCATAAGTTGTTCTGTTTCCACAAAATTGGCAACATATCCATCTGGATCAGCTCCTCTTCTCCACATTCGAGTTCCTTTCAAGAAATAAAATTGTATTTGTACTATCATCAGCCAACCAATCAATAAAAGATTATGACTGTTTTCTTTAGGCAGTCACAAAATTACAACTGGGCTCTTTCATACAAAAACACTTAAAATTAATGATTCTAATAATAATTTTAAACCTCAAATATGACAAATTAAAACCCTAACATGCAAACAAGGAAACTATACACCTTTTGATATCTTTTTCTTAAAGTTAACTTAGAAATTCGATCTGCATTATGTTCCGAACAGACAGCTACAAGATACTCTAAAAAAATCTGGCAACCTTCAATGATTACTTTCAATATCACCACCGTATTATTTTCATGGCCAACATTATGTTGAATTTTTGAATGGTAAGGAACGCATGATATCTATAAGTGCACAGTCAAACTAGAAACAAAAGATTTTTTTGAGTGGACAGAAATAAATATAAGTTCATTCAAAAGCTTTAAACACCATTTCTTCTAGTGCATCTCCTCGCAATCAAAGTGACGTCAATAATATCTTTCCCAATGGCTGCTTGAAAGTAATGAAAACCTGATAACTTGCTAAGGATAACATTGAATGTGCTCACACAACAGCAATACAAATATATGCATCTGTTATTAAAAAAATTCCAAAAGATGATGATATAACATTAAGATGATCAAATAAGGATACTGCCTTGAACTATAGGGAGTAAGTATGGGTCAAGCTGCCAAGCACAGAATCACAAACTTATTAGTTAGTACTTTAAAAATGTGCAAGCAGTGGAAAAATGAACAGTAAAAACGCTACAATAAACCTACCTTGTTATCTATGAGCACTTCTAACATATAATTGTTCCATAGAAATCGAGGCTCTGCCTGTGATCAAGAAATTGGTAGCATAAGCAGAATAAGAGGGGGGAACACAAACTACATAAGGAATCAATTAAGAGTCGACATTGATTTCCTAGACAGGAGAAGTGTGGCTCAGGAATAGTATCTAGAAGAAACTATGAAATTTTCTCAAGCAAGTAATCAGCACCCTCTGTGATATATCAGCATAACAGCAACATTTTATAAATATTACTATAAAAGTATGTTTATTTTATTGCAGTAGGTGGTTGGTAATTTTAGTAACAAAATATGCTGAATCAACATACTATGTTGTATTAGTTACGATTTAGTCACCTTGAACTTCTCAAGGCTCTCGACTTCCATATATATAAAACTAGAACTGAAAGTTTAAGTGAATCATTTCATCAATTTCACACAACAGAGACTCTTGGATTTCTGTCTTTGGTTGATCACTTCCTCTCTCTTTCCTATATGCTTCCCTTTTCTTTCTCTCAATTAAAATGTTTAAATACAATAAAAAACTTGGTAAACAATGAGGACAGTTATAAAACAAAAAAGCAATAGATACCTGTCTCCAAAGAGGAAGCAATCTAGACTCATCACCCAAGTCATTCAACCGCTGGGCACTGCAAAACATAACTTATATTCCATTAATAAAAACAATGGAATGGTAAGGCAACATAAGACATGTTTTATAGGATTTCTTTTATGTGAGCTATTTTTGCTAAGAGAAACATTTACATAGTTATGCTTTATTTTTCTTCTAGAGCATGCATTCAATTTTTATTCAGGATAAAAAATAAAACCTAACTTTTCTAACATATCATTAATGTCACTATTACCACTAAACGAATGCCATTTAATCAAGATTACAATGATCCGCAGCTCCAAAAAACTCAGATTGCAAAAATTCTTCCATTCCATCAGCTTTTTAAAAATAACATATCATTATAGCCGTATATTTAAATAAGTTTCTATCCCATATATCAACGGTCTAGAGGTTAGCAACCAATGGCTAAATGTACTTAAAGTATCTCATATTCACCCTATACAATGATTTATGATATCTTTCAACATGTAGTATGGAAGCTTCTGTTACAAGCCGAAGCTCTCAAACATTAAGGATTGATACTTTGGACATAAAATGTAAAAAGGTGGTGTAATGTCATTCTAAGCGTCATGCTAAAAGTTCTAGACATTACAATACATAAAATGGAGACGGGGACTGCATTTTCTGTGGGTTTACAGGTTGCGTGATTGCACCTACCAATCAAACTGAGAATACATGGGTAGTTTCTTCTCTGTATGTGCATATGTCAATAAGGCGGTGAACTTTAGATCCAAATAGAACTGTAACATATTCTAGTGATACATCAAAATGAAAGACTGCTAGGAACATTGAAAAAAGTTTACCTCAGAGTTAAATTAGTTTCATATGAGAAGAATAGGCCAGAAGTTTTCTCAGCAACATTTAGTAGGCTAGAAAACTCCATCTCCGCCTTCTTCTGCCAAATTTGGTACAGCAATTATGAGTTCCAAATTCGAAGTGGTTATGGAATAAAATAGGAAACAATTGAACTATAGCAAATATACCTGTTCGGCAGGGGTACTTTTAAGTGAATGATCACATGGAAAAACCTTCATGGATAAAATTTTGAAAATTGGATGCCCCAAGTAAGATCCAGCACATTCACGCTCAGTTATGACCATCAAATATGATCCTAAGAGCATGGTAAAATTTAGCAACATCAAAATGATTGCTCAAATTGAACTATGTTTTCAAAATAATGCATTATCTGATGTTTCGAAAGGAAATCAATTATGCAAACAAGATCAACAAAACCAGATATGAAAATCAATATCACAATTACAAGTAATTAAAAAACAGGGTAATTAGGACAGGTTGCTTAAGTCATTAAGATATAAAGATACTTGAGCTAAAAAGAAATCTATATAAATGTAAAAAGCTTGCATGATCATTAAATCATATGACTGTCTCTTAGAAAAATAAAGAAAAGAAAAGGCAATGTCTCATTTTCCTAAGCCCATAGAGCACCAAACATTGTTGCTATTCCATTTTTTGCTTTCAATCATGTGTCAAAATCAAAATCAAATATCTTCTATCATCAGTCAAACATCCCAATTCCCACTTCAATCACCCGGTCCACCCAACCAAAAAACAATGTTGTTAAATGGCCACTCTATCGGCGCTAAAGTAGCGGAATTCGGACAAACCGCTATTGTTCTGTGATGCGTTATTTAGTACCGTATGTTGTCAAATAGCCGCTATAGCACTAATGCATACCGGGATTTTAATAATCTACCATCTGCAATTGACAACACTGCCAAAAAGTAACAATAAAAATCCTAATCTAATCATCTCACATACATTGTTACAAAATCGTATAGATAAAGATGAACATCAACCTTGCCAATATGAGCGAATTTAAAAACTTAAGAATACAAATATACAGTATTCAACTTTATGTAAAATTTCATTAAAGCCAAACAAAGAAATGTTTCTCTTAAGATTGCTCACCAGCCAAAAGCCTCACTATCCCAACAACACCATAAATAGTAAAAATCTTAGGAACTCGTAGAGTGGTACATTCCGGAACCTCATCTGTCAAAGCAAAACAAAACAGGAGCAAAATATATAAAAACAAAAAAAATAATAATAATAAAAAAAAAATCTATGAATCCTAGTATATTAATCCAAGAAAAATCACGGCACGAAGATAAAGCAATCGATTCAACTAACCGATTAGTTTCATGGAGCCATCAAGTCGACTAACAGCCAAAGACGAACCAGAAGAGCCATCTGTAGGCTCAATCACATACTGATCGGTAAATTCCCATAGTCGCATACGTGTGTACAGCTTCTGCACAGAATCTGCTCTCTCCATCATTATTGAATCTCCAACTAACTGCAAAAAACGAACATCATTCATTCCAATTAACAATTCAAACTACATTCACAATCAACCACCAAACATTCAAATCTCAATTTACCGTTCAAGCTATATACAATTTCACGAATCAACCTAAACAATAACTCTAACTTCAAATCATTCAAATCCAGGCTAATTTGATCTAATCGGAATAGAAAAACTAGTTTCCCGCTAAAACAGTTACGCGAAGTTTGTTACAGAAATTTTCTCGCATTGAAGCAAACGAAGAAGAGAATGAGAAAAAGACGTACCTGGATTACAAGATCGAAGAATAGAAAGAAATTTAAGATCCAAATTCGAATTAGTGCGTGAAACGTGAAATATGGGACTGCAATTACAAGGGAATAATAATAAAGCTGTAGAAAGATATATTCATTTTTTTAAAACTTTTTTATGGTAAGGGCGTGTTTGGGTGTTTCGTTGCTTAATTGAGACGAGCGATGAGTAATTAGGACAAAATCTCTTAATTCGTGGTGTTCCAAATGCGGCTTTAGTGGGAAGTAATGGATCGGTTCCGCTTAAACGGTGCCGGGGCGAAAGTTTGTTGGTACACGTGGGGGTGGACTAGAGGTTTGTGAGACCGTGGCCTGCTACTCTGGAGAGCCCCATGACATGGTCAATAGATGAGCACCTAAGGGATTGTATATTGGCCGTTGGATCTGAATGCTGAAGTTTAATTGACGGTCATAAATATGGTGGCGTCTTTAAATTTGGGTGGATAAATCATTTTCAAATCATAGTATTATTGTGAGATAATTTTGTCCTCTTAATTAGTTTAATGGCCAGGTTTAGATAGAATGATATTTTTTCCTGTTTTAAAATTAGTATGGTTACTATTTTTGCAGTAAATTAAAAAATATGATGAAATTAACAAAAATTCAAAACATGTTATATTTTTACTAAATTATCATATTATTAACATTTTAGGAATACTATACATAGTATTAATTAAAATTGAGATTTTATTTGTTTCATAAAAGTGAATACTTCTATTAAATGACTCAGAACATCATTATTTGTTGGCAAAATGCAAGAGTGGTGCTATTATTGTCTTCATAGGCTTTAGCTTCATCAAAAACATCATAGAAACTAACCTCTATAACATTTATAACATGTAATTTTTATCTCACGTATATTACATTTCTATCATCGTTGTTCTGTTTTTCTTTTTGTAAGGTTTGTCAATTGGTTGGAATAATTTAAAAGTAATGGAGCGGAACGGAATAAGATGGAGTGGAATGGAACAGAATGAAATATAAACTCTATTTTAGTGTTTAAATATTTTACAACGGAACAAAATTAATATCTCATTTCACTGTTTGAGAATTGGACGGAGCGGAAAACATTATAACTTTTTAATTCCATTTTTACCCTTTGCTACAATATTGATAGATCCAACATTCTCACACTAAAATAATATATAAGTAATCATAAAAAAATATCAACTTAACACTTGAAAGAAATTAAAACATACAGTAATAAATTAAAATGTTCATAAATGAAACATGGTTATTATAACTTAAAATTGCAAAGACCAAGTGCACAAGTTTTGATCAACACCATAGTGGGTATTCATAGTAATTCATAAAAAAAAACAAGTTTTGCTAAAATTAAATGATAAAGTCTATAGTAGATAATGATATCAAGTCTTGATAATAAAAAAGACAAATATTGATCCATAATAGATAATGACTCTCTTCTTTAAGCATTCCACAAAACTTACAAAGATAAAATAAAATAAATTACGCAAATATTTTATTCGTTAAAGATAAAAAAAATACTCAAAAGTGATAAATAAATATGTTACCATTATCAAAAGGGATAGTCTGGAACAATGAGATGTAACATTTCCTTCCGCTTATCGATTGAAATTCCATTAAAAGCTTTCAATGCATCGGCATTCTTAACAAGGTACATGTATACAAGAGACAAAGAACTTGGTTCAACCCCAATCTCGACGAATTCAGCCCAAATATCTTCACCATTAGCATTTTTACTCTGTTTGACTAGTTCCATGGAATTCATTTCAAACACATCAACCATTTTTTTGAAAGTTTTGGAAATCTCAATCATGCTTGTATCATCTTCAATAACCTTCTTTACTCGCTTCTTAGTCCTAGATGATGATACATCTTGAGAATTAGTAATATAAGGCCTTGTAGGAGAATTGTTGGAATGATGTTCATCATCATCAAATCCCTCCAAAATAACTTCATTAGTTTCAACTAAGTGGTCTATTTCTTCGATGGTTGTGCCATGACTTTTTTCAACATTTGCAGCCTTTTTTGCTCTCATTTTAGCAATTGTACCTTCATGCTCTCTTGTTGCTCGATCTTTTCCAAAAAGTTTGGCCAATTTATCATAAAATAATATTGGCTTGTTTTTCCATTCAGCAGCTTCGAGTTTTGCCTACACCAAAATAAACGAAACAATGCATCACTTAAAAAGTTTTTAATGAGTGAACTCAAATAAAAATAATCGGGTAAGTGTATAAAATAATTATAGTCAATAATACGTCAATTAGCTTGTTCCAAACTTCATCTTCGGTAATCCACATATTTGTTGTTGAATCCCATCCAAACCCACTCAAGCCATTCTGGAAAAGGTCATAACAAGAATTTAACTTTGTTTTGATGTGTTTCATGCGATCTTTTATTTTTTTTCTTTGGAAATTGGTTTGTCCGGAAAGTGAGTCTTCAATTCTTTAAGAATGATATCCATAGCGTTTGTTGTCATACTATTACCATTTTTATTTCCCAATGTTTGTTGATGCAAATATGCATCAAGCAAAAGTTCATCCATAGCAGTTGTTCAATTGCATGTTTATAGACTTTTGAGTTTCCTCGGCCTCTTTAAACTTGCTTCCATGTCTATTATTAAAAAACACAATGAAGAATATAATAACCTATGCACAAATTCAAATGTAAAGGTTCATCATACACTAAAATTCATTCCATAAATTACAAATAAAAAAGTCAATCAAAATAAAATTCTTCAAAACATTATTCATAAGAGTAAGAAATCATTAAGAATAATTTTAATAATCTAGCCACATAGAACCAGCAACATTATCTCTAATTGGCTCTCCGCTAATCATACCATCGTTTTCTTCTCTATGATCTTGATGACCCTCTTGAACATCTCTTTCGTTTGCAAGCTCATCTTGCACCCCATCAATTAGAGTTTGATTGGGGTCTTCACGCATCAAATAGTTGTGTAAAATGCAACAAGCAAGGATGATTTTATTTTGAGTTTTAATACCAAATGTAGGCTCTGTTGCAGTTTGTAAAATTGGAAATCTTTTCTTCAACACTCCAAATCCACATTCAATAGACATTCGTAATGACGAATGTCGATGGTTGAATAACTCACGAGGGTTTTGAGGTGAATTTATAGAGTATTCTTGTAAGTGGTATCGTTCTCCCCTATACGGTGTAATGAGACATGCTTTTAAAGGAAATCTCACATCACCCAGATAATATTTTCCTTAAAAAAATAATTATCCATTAGTTTAACTAATCTAAATACTTATACAAATATTTTTTATTACTTTTTATTATCTTATGGAGCTTTAAGAGGGTGTGCACGTGCCAACGCACTCTTAACTATTCTTGAGTCAGAAGCAGTTCCTTCCATCCAACCAAGACATATGTAAATTTCAAGTCAAATGAGCATGCAGCTAACACATTTTGTGTGGGATAATCTTTTCTACCACGGTATCTAGGTGTGAGTTTTATTGGAACTTTAACACGCACATGCATGCAATCAATTGCTCCAATACAGATCTGGCATTAAATTTATATATTAAAAGTGTACAAGAAAACTAATCAATTGTTTTAAATTTTGTTTTAAAAATTTGTTTACCTTAAAATACGGGTAGAATCTATGGTTGTTAAGTATCTGTGGAGGCACTTGTGTTCCATCAGGTTGTTTTAAAATTTTCCCTCCACCTCTATCAAAGCATCTAGCACTCTATGAAAATGACGACTAACAGTTTCACCAGAGCGTATAAGAAAGAAGGACGTCACACGATTTCTAACATTATGTCCTACTATATGAAGAAATTTTGCTACTTGTTCTTTGATAGACGCTCTTCGTGTATGTGTAAGTTCACCTTGATCTTGTAATAAGGTGCACAAGTTTAAGAAAGCTTTGGGACCCATACGAATGATATCATAACATTGCTCACTTCCTACAATATGTTTTATCAACTCATTCTAACTTTCTCTCTTTGCTATGTGATTCTATAAGGTATTTGGGATCTTCTATGCTTGTTTTTTAGCGAACATATTAGAACAATAATGATAGATACTTGAAGAATCATCATTTGAACCAATTTCATATACTTGATTCTTATGTCTTCGTTAGTCATCTATAACAAATTAAACAGTAAAATTTACTGTAATTATAAATCCATATACAAATAAATCAAATTAAAATATTTATAACAAATAAAATAAATCATATCAAAATCAGAACAAATAGATTAAAATTTTTTAAAACAAATCAAATATATAATTTCAATCCCAAATTAATTAAGAATCTTTATAGCAAATCAAAACTTATGTTACTAATAATTATTTTTCTATTATACTACATAATGTTATTAGTCAATTTTATGTTACAGTAACTGATCTGACCTGATCAGAAGGGGATTGTTGACTGCCATGCGTCTTCGACTTACTGCCTGTTCACCGTTGACTGCCATGCGTATTCGACTTACTGCCTGTTCACCGGTGTGAAAGAAGAGGAGCGGGTTCACCAGTGTGAAAGAAGAGGAGCGGGATGTACCTGTAAGGCACTCTGATGCTAAAGTAAGCATATGGGCAGAGTGATCACAAGTACAGAAAAAGGGTAAGAATCGAATTACCTGACCCTCTTGTGAAAGAGGGTATTTATAGAGAGACCTCAGCGCTGAGCCAACGGTCACTTGTGTTGGGCTGGATTGCCAGGCCCAACCCAGGTGACTACTAGGGCTTACGTGGCGTAGTGAAGATCAGAACGTGGTCTTCGCCCTAGTTCAACTGCCCCGTGATCTCCGAAAAGTGGGTTTGACCTGCTCTTTCGGAGGTGGGCAGTTGGTCGGTGACGTGTCCCCACGGAGGGGAGCACGTGGAGAACGTGTGAAGGACACGTTGTCCTGCCCGACAGGGGAGCAGGTTCTGCCTGCTGAGGGGTAGGTTCGACGGGGGCAGTGTCTGGTCGACGGGGGAGTATTGTACTCGACACAGATGAGGAAGGTTCTGCCCTCGGAGGGACATTACCTATCCGCTGGGGACTCTGTGCTCGACGGCTGTTGCCCAAGATGGATTGGGCTTGGCAGAATATTATTGGGTTGGGCCTGTCGGGTCAAGCCGGGGCCCAGGCCAGAACAATAACTAATTTTAGTTTTTCTCTATACATAATAAGAATACAATCAACGTGAATAGTAGTGAAAAGCAACAGGAATAGTAGTTTTGCAACAAATCTAATTTCTACCTTTGTTCTTAATAAAAAGTTAATTTAACATACAAAACACTACAAAAAAACATAAATCATAATTTTAGGTTTTGTTTTTAGTAACTATACCTAATTTCTAAAAAAAGAAAAAGACATGAACATGAAGATAAATAAATATATTTAATTTAATAGAGCACACATATAAATATAGGTTAAAAAAATGAGAAAAAATATGATGTACCTTGTTAGGGTAGAAGAAAGATAGACTCTTTGCAAGCAAGAAGAAGACCTGTGAAGGAGAAAAGTTGCAGTGAATGAATAGAAAAATATCACGTTGATTGAAATAAGGAATAAGAATGGTTAATAATAAAAGTGAAAATTTGGAGGATAAAATTGTAATTGTTTTATTAATTGATTCCATTCCATTGGATACACCCCAATTTGGGGAATGAAAAATGAGGCAAAATAGTGGTATTGGATGAAACGTGTTTCATCATACTCCATTTCATTCCATTCAATTTTTGTAAATCCAAACAATAGAATATAACTCCACTCCGTTCCATTCCATCCCTTTCCATCAATCCAAAAGACCCTAAGAGGTCACAAAATACTTGTCTTCAAAAGAATTTAACTTGTCACTCCATTTATATATGACATCTTCTATAGTTTTAAATTACTAAAATTGTTCATATTAAAAATTGAATAAAATTTTCGTTTAAAATTTTTGATAGTGTATTAAAAAATTTTGGTATACCGAAAGTTTTGAAATTTTCAAAAAATTGCAAATAATATCATAAATTCTAAATTTACCATTTTATACCAGAAATTTCAACCTAAATGAAATTTCTGGTAATATTATTTGTTTAAAATTTTAAATGCTCAAAATTTTATCGACAATTTTAAATGGTTGTGATTGCACCGACAGTTTTCTATGGTCCAGAGCAAATGCAAAATTATTTAAACAGGTGGGTCACCTGTTGTTTGACAAAAACATCTCAAAAAATGCTTCTTCCTCAATTTTTTATTAAAGCAGAAGTTTACTTCAGCGGAGTTTCACCTCCCGTAGAGTTTCGGCTTTTGGATGACACCACATCTCCCGTCGCCTTAACATCCAAGTTGAATGAATTATTGCCTGATATCGAAAATAGAAAGGTGAGAAAGATCGAGTTTCATAAAGATTAGATTGATACTGATGGGAGGGGTGAAATACAACCTTATTGAGTTGAAAATCGATGAAGATGTAAAGGATATGTGGAGATCATTTCATCGTAGGTTAACAAATGGGTCGATCGAGTTAAATGCTAAGATTTCAAGGTCCTTTAACAATATAATTAAGATGATGAAACATCCAAAATCATCTGGTAGTGTCTAGGTTTTCTTATTTATTATTATTTTTTAAGTTATGTTTAAGTTATGTAATCCATTGTCAAATGCTAGTTTATGTTGATGTTGCATCAGTGGAAGATCAAAAATATTATCTAATAAAAAGTTCTGATGAAGATGCATGAGTAATGTTACATGTAATATACAAATAACATACAAATAACACATAATATACAAAAGATGTCTAAATAGGCCCCACACAGATTATGTGTGCAGCCCGAGATAATTCTGTATAAACCTCTCCATCTGGATTTACCAAACCCATGAGATTATCCATAATAATTGCAATCATCTAGTGGCGCTGCTAGTCATCGACATCAGTTATAGGAAGAGGCGACAATGTCACGTCATCGTCAAGTACCCCAACATCAAAAGGCTCAACATCACTTGTATGTTCAACAAGTGGGATGATGCAAGAGTGTGATACAGTGAGGTACCACTCTAAGTAACCATTCTCACACCGTAAAGAGTTTTGAACTGTAACTGCTCGATCTCTAATGGCATGACTAGAGGTGATAATGTTACTCTGAAACCACCAATCAATGCTTGTAGATGGTGTAACGCCCTAATTTATTTTATTTATTTTTCATAATTAAAAATTATGCGATATTATGTAATTGTATGTGTTGATTGGTGTGTTTGAGATACCCTTATGTGCGGGATAGTGGCATTAAGAGTAGAATTAAGGTGTTAGGGGTGTGTGAGTACAAGGGTAAAATTTAGTGGTGTGGAAAGTAAGACTAAGTAAATCATATTAATTAGTATTTAGTTAATTATTTAATATTAGGTGAATATTAATTTAATTAAATAATTGGTGATCAT